TGGGCCAGTGAAGCAACGTCCTCCACAACTAGACTGAAGAACAAAACGACAGCAACTTGTCTGTTCCCCTTCCCCCAACTCCCCAGCACTGTTCCCGTGCCCCCAATTCCCCAATAAAAATGTTTAAAAAAAAAAAAAAAAGAAAGGAAGTGCACAGTGCCCCCCACCCCCTGTGAAGGTCCCCATCCTCATGCAGCCTGTCCCCAGCCCCCAGCCATGAGCTGCTTCCTAAAGACTGGTCACACTGACAGGGTGGGGTGGGAGGCAGCACCCTGAAAGGACCGCTCTGTCTCGTGGGACACAGTGTATTTTCAATCTGAGAACATGCATGTGTGTGGGAGTATGGTGCTGCCTACCCCAGAGCCAGTCCTGGGGGGCTAGGAACCGAGGGGTGCGGCAGGAGTGGGTGGCTCTCGCACTAAGTACTCAGTGACCACCTCCTGTCCCCAGGAGACACAATAACTGAACCAGAAAATGTGACTTCCACCAGCAATTTTGGGCCCATTTTGCCACTGACCTGACAAGCAGAAAACAGGACTGTCCCTCCAGCACGAGTGAGTGACACAGTCAGAGGGGACTGGGCTCTGCGCGGAAGGAGGGCTGTGTGGGAGCAGGGACCCCCGGGGGCCACTCACACATCCATGCCCGCAGTAAAGGCTGGGAAAGGACAGCTACCAAACCGGAGTCCCGCTGAGGACGCAGCCCCTGGCAACTGAAACATGGGCTTCGCCATCAGATAGTGGGGAACATGGAGTGGGACTGAGGAAGAGACGCCGGGATGTCACCACCTTGGCACAACCAGTCCAGGGACCAGGACTGGGGTGCGTGGCATCCTTCCCTTTGCTGGGGTGTCACTGGCCCGTGCCAGCCGTTCCCCACTCTCTTCCTTGTCCCTGTCGTTGTTGGCGGCCATGGATGGCATGAGGGTTGGGACCATGCAGCCTCATTGTAGGAAGGGGGCGACAGCTTCTTCTGTTGGAGGGACTGCTCTGTCTCCTTCGGTGTCTGAAAGGTCCCTTGTGTCTGGGCGGAGGGAAGGCAGCCCGAGGGCGGGGGGCAGTGATCCTCATCTGTGTGGTGCCCTCCCCGCCCCCACCCTGCTGTTCCTGCCCACAGCCTCCCTCAACCCTGGGTCCTGGTGCACAGCTGGGACACCAGGTGCTCAGCCCACACAAGGTCCTGTGTGACTTCCACTGAGTCCGGGGGCAGGGGACGCGGGTTGGGGGGTAGCTTCCTGTCCCATGAGGCCATCCTCACCTCCCTTCCCCAGCAGAGAACTCCTCTGCCTTCTGGACGTTCCCTTCCCTGGTGTATGTGCGTGTATATGTGTGTTACATATCTGTGTGTCTGTGTGCATGCGTGCACATGCATATATATGTATAGATGTGTGTGTGTGTTATATATGCGTGGCTGTGTGTCTTTGTATGCATGTATATGTGCATATGTGTGTGTATGGTTTGTGCATATATAAGTGTGCGTATGTGAGCCTATATGTGTGTGTATTGTTTGTATGTAAGTGTGTGCATGTGTGTATATGTGTGTGTGCATGGTTTGTGTGTATGTAAGCATGTGCATGTGTGTGTGTGTGTGTGCACGTACTATACTCTTGTTGTGACTACAGTCAACATCACGGTTTACAGCTTTAACTTGACAAAGTCAAACTGACGTTTTTCCTCGTTCAGGCCGTACCCCTCTAGTCCTCTTTCAGAATTCTCTGCTCGCCCTACACATGTACGTGACTGCTGCTGTTTGCGTGGCCCAGGTTGCTTTCAAACTTGCCCTCATGCTCCTCACGCCCAGGGAACTCAAGCCTTGCAGCGGGGACGCCTTGTCCCTGCCTCACCCTGTGGGGGTTCTTTGGGAGGCATCTCTCTATGCCGTCTGTGAGGGGGACAGGCCGGGGAGCCTTCAGCCACACTGCGCAGTGGGAAGCAGAGAGCCTGTCTCTTCCACCCCAAACCCACTCCCAGCTGGAGGCTGCGCTGTCGCAGGAGATGTGGGTGGAGAAGTGGACACAGCTGTCCCTTGGCCTCAGGCGACCAGGGGTGGGCAGGCCTTGAGCCTGTGTGAAACACAAAAGGCTACACACTGCGATTCTGAGTCAGGCCAGACTCCTCTGTGCTGATGGGAAGTAGGTCACAGCTGTAGGGGCCGGAACGGTCGCTGACTGCCAGCGGGAACCAGCGAGCTTTCTGGGGCGACGGATATTCTGCATCTGATTTGGGCTGTTTACACAGATGCCCACATTTGTTGGAGCTCACCAAAGTGTCCGATTGAACGGCGTCCACTTTAGTGTTTGTCAAATATACTTCAACAGACTTCATATTTGGGAATTGGGGACTACATAAGGACTTTTTTCAGAAAAATAAATCCCAAAGAAATTCATCACCAATTTAAAAAGATACTAAAGGATGTTCTTTAGTCAGAAGAATGGTGTTGATGGGGTAACCATCCAGGAGGGAGGAATCGGGGCACAAAGAAAAAGCGAGACGTGGGGCAAACCCTGGTGACCCCCGGCCTGGTCAGCCCTGGTACGTCTGGTGGGGAGTCAAGTCCACTCAGAGGTAGCATATGAGATATGAGGACGTGACAGAAGTGGGCCCCGCAGAGCGTAGGTATGCGACCAAAGCGCTGCAGCACTGCGTTGCCCAGAGGACGGTAGACATGCTAACTTATGTTCAACATTAATAACTCAAGGATGAACTCATAACGTCCCGTTAACTGTGAAAAGAGCAGTAAAAAAGTTAACAAAGCAGGATCTGAAGAGAAATTTGCACCCCACATCCACAGCAGCCAAGGGGTGGGAGCAACCCCAATGTCCACTGACAGAGGACCCGATAAACCAAACGGGGTCCCTCCACACAGTGGAGTGTCACTCAGCCCTGAAAAGGAAGGCGGTCCTGACACCAGCTACCACGTGGATGGACCCTGGGGACACTGTGCTCAGTGAAATGGGCCAGTCACAGAAGGACAAGTCCTGTAGGACCCCCGCCACCCCCTCACAGGAGGTCCCCAGAGGAGTCAGATCAACAGAGACAGGAAGTAGCTGGTGGGGGCCGGGGCTGGGGAGGGGGTGGGAGTGAGTGTTTCATGGGGACAGAGGGTCAGTTTGGGGAGACGAGAAAGTCCTGGAGATGATGGAGGTGGTGGCCGCACAACAGTGTGACTACGCCGAATGCCACTGGGCTGGCACCTAAACGTGGCTGAGATGGTTTAAAAAACAAAATTAACAAGCTAACAAAGAGAGGAAATGGTGTAATAAAGAAATTATTATAATGAATCCTAAGGGGGGCAAGAAAGGAGAGGAAAGGTCACACCAGCAGGTGTGGACAAGAGCAGCTAGCTGTCAGACAAGGCGCCCCACACCACAGGGGGAGAGGTCTCGGCTGCCTGCCAGGCGAGCGGCCTGGGCGATCCTGAGATGCCACCACTCCACTTCCCGCCCCTCCTGCCACGTGACTAACACTTCCCCCCCAGTACGGGTCTGCGTCCACCCGCCTGGAATTTGGGTACAGGTGACACCACGAGATTTCTGACGGTGGATCCTGAAAGGAGAAGAGGGTCCTCTGCTGCGTGGGGAGCCCAGACCCAGCCGGGAGAAAATCAGCCACAGCCAGTGCCATCAGGGTTGTCCGCACTCCCGTTTATTCCATGCTGAGACAGGGAAGACGGTGCAGGCTGTGAGGCGGGGCCTGGTTGCGAGGCACTTCATCCTTCAACAGGTGTCCAGATGGGGTGACCAATCTGATGGGGCAGACAGAGCCAGATGGAGGGGACACACAGGGGCAGGTGGGGGCAGGTAAGGGAGAGAAAGAGACAGGTGCTTCCAGGAGACGGAGGGGAGGAGGGCTGAAGGGAGAGAGAAAAGGGGCCTGCAGCCTTGGCAGGGAAGGAGCTGGGGTGGGAGGCCAGGGGCTGAGGGACATGCCCCCAGGGCTCTGCCCTGTCCCCAGACGGGGCCCCCAGACTCAATGCAAACGCAAGCGGCCAGGTGCTGTGGGTATGCCTGAGGGCAGAGTGCGCAGTATGTGTGCACGAGTGTGCATTTCTCTCTGTGCACACATGCACATGCATAGGTGTGCAAGTGAGTATGCACGTGGAGAGGGCCAGAGGCAGGAGATACAGGGCACAGTGGGAACCCCCTGGAGGGGGAGGTGGCCCGGGACAGGGGCACCCTGGTGGGGGCAGAGACCAAGGAGCCATGAGCTCCCCCCTAGTTTGGGCTCAAGCTGAACACCCTGTGGCTGCCGGGACCCCACAGTGGACCCCAAGCGTAAGCCATGCTCACCCACGGGGCTCCCACAGGGCTTTGGAGTCCCAGAGACCAGTGCCCCCCCCCGCCCCGCCCCTCCCTCGAGCTGCTACCTACCTGTCACGTCTGGGAAGACAATGTTGTCCTCTAATAGGCCCTGAGCTCTGACCAGGCAGACAAATCTATCCAGCACCTGGGTCTCAATCGCCCACATTCTGCCTGGGGCCCAAGAACACGGCGTTGCCCTTAGCAACTGGGAATGGACTGTGAGTGGTGGGTGTCCCTGCCCAGTGTGGTCCCAGGCCCAGGAGTACCGCCCAGCCTCCCTGCTCCCTCTGGCCCCAGCTACCCACTACCCGGAGGGCGAAGGGCTCACACAGCAGGTGGACCCTGATGACAGGAGGGCTGCCCGACTGCCTTCTGGAGAGCATCAGGGCGAACGTGGTGTAGTTGGTGTCATGTACCTGCACCTCCTCCAGGCTGTCCGGGGGCACTGAGGGGACAACCCTAAGCACGGAGGGGACACAGCCCCGGGCATGGAGGGGACACAGCCCTGGGCATGGAGGGGACAGCCCTGTGTACTGAGGGGACAGCCCTGGGCACGGAGGGGGCAGCCCCAGGTCAGGGCCCTGCCACCAGTGCCCCCCATGTCATCCTTCCCACCTCCCACTCTCTCACACCTACTGTTGTCCACTGAGAATTTCCCAGGCTGGGCCTCGGGAATCAGCACATAAGACCAGGTGATACAGCGCTGGCCCCTGTGAGAGGAGGTATAGGCAGAGGAGGAAGGTTCTGGAACCTGGCCAGGCTGCTGGCCTCCTTGACCTCAAGGTGGACCCCTGAGGAGAATTCAGCCATTGGTTTGGGAGCAGCGTCCCGCAGAATGAAGGCTTGGCTGCCTTGCCCAGGGAGGGCTGTGTCCACCCTGTGCCCCTTCAGGCCACCTTGTCCCTCAGGAGCCCTTTGTAGCCTCTGCTAGGCCTGGAGCAGGACCAAAATGCACGTGGCTGTGCAGTGATGCGAACAAGTCACCTTCTGAGCTGCAAAGCCCCCTCTTGGGAGTCTCGTGGCCCTGACCAGCAGCCTGGCGAAGTAAGGCCACATGGGGAGACGTGGGAGGGGCGCAGGCGGCTGTCCTGCACTGGGCCTGGTGTCCTCACAGACTGGTCAGTAGTTCAGGGGCTTCTGCAGGGGACCCGCTCACTTTGAGAGGCATCACAGGCAGCCTTCCCTGCCGGAGGGGGGGGGGCTGAGGCTGCCCAAAGGGCTTCGTGGTCAGGGGGCATTTACACTGGGTTCCCTGCCCCCTCAGTCAACCTCCAGCCAGAGCTAAGCCAGGCAAGTCAGATGCCCCAGGAGTCCAAGCCTCCCCAGTGGGGGTTCTGGTATGGCTGAGCTGTACAGGTGGCTTTGAGAGCCAGCGAGTGACTGTGCTCACTGCTGGGCTGGGGCGGGGGGCTGAGTGTAGCTACTCGGAGGCTGGACTGTGTCCCACCCTTGGCTTCTGGGAGCCACCTGGGGCCACACAACAAACCCGACTTGCTTAAGCTTCCTACTTTGTGTTACTTGAAACCAGGTAACCAGAGGTCTCAGGCCCTCTCTTCCCCACAGCCGGCAGGTGGGCAAGGGTCACTGGGCCTGCAGGGGGGTGGGGGTGGCAGGGTAAACAAGCCCTCATGGCATCAGTGTCCCTCAAAAGGGGCTGTCCATCGAAACCCCCACTTCTCCCCAACCAGGAGGCAGCCACTTCATCCAGGCAGGCTGACCAGAGCATGTCACCCCAGACACAGCGACTGGTACAGGAGGAGCACATGGCTCAAGAAGACCAATCAGAGGCCATTGTCAGCCACCAAGGATGCACCCTTTCTGGGATTGGGACCCTGAGGAAGATGCCAGCTCAGACCATCGTCTCATCCTGTGAGGTGAGAACCTGCCTGAACAGACGTCTGGGGCCGGCGGAGCAAAGCGAGGGCAAGGGAAGGGGTGACGAGGCCGTGGTCACAATGTCTGGGGTCCTGAATCCAGCTGAACCTGAAACCCACTCGCCCCCGGGCTCTTCTGAGCCTGTTCCAGGAACTGCCCCCCTCTTTGGGGGCGCCCCAGAGCTGGCTGAGGTCACAGGCAGCCTGTGTTGGACTTGGCATAAGGAGGGCCTCGGGGAATGTGGCACCGGGACCCGTGGTGGCTCCTCGGGTGCGTGCCCGGGCCCGCACTCACCGCGTCATGGCGTAGGACACGCTGAGGCGGCCGTTCCCAGTTTGCTCAAACGTTGCAATGAAAGAGTTCAGAAGGGACCTGTCTGCCTTCCTGTATGTGTTGCCAGCCAGGCCGAGGACGAACCACTCCCCCTGGAACTGCAGGGGGGGGGGGCGTGGGCAGAGCCCCGATGGCCGAAGGACCCCCCCTCACCAGGCACCCAGGCTGGGCCTCACCAGTGACACTGGCAGAAGCCAGTGGCTGCCCTGTTTCTGGCAGGATGGGGTGACCCTGGCCAGTAGCTGGCCTCTCTGAGCCTTTGTCTGTGCAGAGGAGATGCGATGTCCCCGACTCACAGGGATTGGCAGGGGTTACAGGGTGGAACGCTGCCCTAGGAAGGGTCCTTTTCTGTTGGAGGTCAGGGGTTTCCATGGTGGGGGGTGGCTGAGAGCAGGGCTGGGCCTCCCGGTCAGTGCAAGGCTGGCTGGACTGGACTCCCACCGGGGGCAGTGCCCGCAGCCAGCTGCCTCTCCCTCCCTCCCAGCCCCACACCTGGTCCTCTTGGAAACTCTGCAAGACCGGGGCGATGGCTGGAGGGTTCAGGGTCTGGCCCGTCCAGGCTTCCAGCAGGGTGAGCACCACCCACAGGGCACACAGAGGCCCCATCCCTGCAGCACCGAGCGACGAATTGGCCATTGGTGCTGCTGACTCACCTCTTTATCGCCCCCACCCTCCCCCTCACAGGTGCCCCTCCCTGGGGTGTGCCCGCTCCACCTTCCTCAGGACTGGCAGGAGGAAAGGTGGGCGCTGAGGCTTGGGGGTGGGCTCCCAAGCCCTCACTCCCTTGGGGGTGAGGCCCTCCACCATCCAGTCCACCAAACATGAGGGGCATCTGGGCAGGAAATGGAGGGGCAGGGGTGCCCGGGCCTTGCCGTCTGACTCCTGCACTCCGGCTCTGCACCCCCTCTACCCCTGCTCTGAGCGCCCCAGGCAGAGGACAGAATGCCTCAGACAGAGAGCATGGTCCCTCATAGTCCCAAGGGGTCAGGGCCATGGTGTTCCCACTGCAGGAAACACTGCAGAGCCCAGGCCTGCCAACACCCACACTGTCTCACACGGCTCCAAACCCAAAGTGTGGGCCAAGGCCAGGGACAAGGGGCCTGCAGTCATGAGGGTGCAGGTGAGTCGACGAGGAGGCATTCCACAGGGACCCTCAGCCAGAGCGGGGCAGGGGTGGGGAGGCCCGGCCTAGCTGGGGTGAGGCACCTACGCATCCGTCCTGGGGCAGGGGGCCAGCCCGGGAGGGTGCAGGCAGGCTCCAGACTTGCAGCCCTCTCCCCGATCCACCACCCCTGCAGGAAGGGACCAGGAAGACAGTGCCCTTCATGCCCACGGGCAGCCAGGCATGTGGGCGCTGGACTCCATTAGAGCCGGGAAGGATGTGTCCCTGACCTGTGAGCTCCCTGTCCTGGGCCGCCTCCCTCCACCCAGGTCCCCAGTACTGTGTGCCTCCTCCCGTCCCCTGCCCTTGGCCTTGGGCAGCCTTCCCTGAGCCCTAGTCAGGCCACTCGGCTGTCCCAGGCCTCACTCTCCCCACTGGAGCCCTCACCCTTCTAGGAGGCTTTCCCATTGCCAGCTGAACCATGGCCAAGTCCTGTCCGGGTCATCTGCAGGCCCCAGAGCAAAGCGGGGAGCTCAGGGGTCCGGAGGGCCGAGCCCGCAGTGCTGTGACCCCATTCCTAGAGTTTGCTGTGCCGTTGGTCAGCAGTCTCTTTAGGAGACTCTGGCCCACAATGAGAGAAGTTGAATAACCTGGCTGCATTTCCCTGAACCTCCCACAGGAACCACCACAGCAGGAGCTGGGGCAACAGGTCCTCCCCCTGCACCCTGCTCCCCAGCCAGCACCAGCCCTTGCCTGCCACCTCTGCACACTCAGCCCCACCAGGTGACGTCCCTTCCCTGTACTGCCTTACCCACAGAGCACCCTGGAGAGGTCTGTGGGGGCAGAAGTCAGCAGCATGTCAGAATGGGACAGTTGGCCCCTCCACAAGGAGCCCTGCCTGGCCAGAGTCTTGCAGTAACCCAGCCTCCTGGGCCAGCACAGGTGAGGCACAGAGTGGCCGTAGCAGCAGAGGCCCAACAAGGCTCCGGTGCCCCGGCCCAGTGCTGATTAATGAGCGAAAAATACATTTACATAAAAAATGATACACTTGGAGCTACAATTGTTCCACCCGCGTATGTGAACATTTGATTAGCGCTCATTACACATTTTTGTGAAAATAAAATGCATCGCGATTGTAGCTCTCCAACCCCCCAGGCACAGTGTAAGGGACCAACTGGCCACCTGGCTCATGCCTGGCCCTGGGGACCTGCTGTCAGGGACGGAGGGAAGTGGGGGCTGCTGGGTGGCCTCAGCCTTGTGGTCACTCTGGAGGGTTTCTGGCTGCCCCTCAGACCCTCAACCCTCCCGGAACACCCTTCTTTCCCCAGAAGCCCTAGAGGGGGTATCTGCTTAACCCGCATACCCCAGAGCAGAGGCTCTCACTTTCTGTGTGGAGGACGCGGGGCCAGGTGTGCAGGGGCTCTGGGGTGCTGCCACTCTAAGCCGTGCCTGTGGGATCCAGGTGTCCTGCGGCCTCCTGCCCTGTCTGTGGGCCTCTGGGATGGGGGGCCCATGGGCAGGTGCTAGTTTTCTTTCCCTTTTCCTCTAGCCCTACCTATCTGCCCTCCTGAGAGTCCAGTCTGGGGGTCGGGCATGGTCCCCAACCACTGGGGACATGGAACTGCTCCAGGGCTGCTGCTGGCCTCCCAGCAAGCGTCCACTGCGGTCCTCCTGGTCTGGACTGGACCAGCGAGTGAGGTGGGCAGAGGGCCAGGGCCACAGCCCGGCTGCCCGGGACCAGGCAGTAGTCTCGTTTACTCTGGCACAGCTCACCTGGGGGGTCGGTCCTACCCGAAGCCTAGGGAAGAGCATGCTGGATGGGAGGCAGTGGGGCCGGGGGAATCCACTTCAGCACCACCGGCGGCCAATCGGTGGCCAGCCCTGGACTTCGAGCTCCCAGGGGCAGGGGATCCCCCTCAGGTGCCCATGGCTGGCACACAGTGGGCGCTGCAGAAAGGTCCATCAGGATGACTCCAAGGGTCCCAGACAGACAGGGTGGCTGTGGGGCTGGTTCCAGGGCCAGCCTTGGTCAAGCCCATACCCAGTTCCTAACCCTCCAGCCCTAGCCCCGCCCCAGACGGGGGGCTGCCACCTGCCCTGAGACCCTCTCTCAAGTCATCCTGAAGGGAGGCTGCCTTCTTCCTGGTGCCCAGGGGTCAGCGGGAGGACAGCTGTGCACAGACGGCTCTGGGCTGGGCAGCGTGTGCCAGGCAGTGTGTGTGGACACACTGGACCCATAAGGCCCCCCCCCAGTGGGGGGGGGGCTGTCTCATTGACTCCCAGCCACATGGGTGTGGCTCTCACCCAGTGCAGTGGGGGTCGGGGGGCTGATGATGGAGTGATGGGAGATAGCTGGCGTCCCGTGGGGGGCCCTCTGAGAGCAGGGCATCCCCAGAGCCCACAGGGCATGGGTGGGTACGTGTGGGGTCACAGCACCCCCTAATTCACCAGAGCTATTGAAATGGCTATCCTCCCCCAAATGGGGAAGGCCCTCAGCTGTCTGACGAGGGGGCTGAGTGTTCTCACCAGCTGGGGGCACTTTCCCTCTCCAGCACTGTCCCCTGCCCCCTGAGACCCCCTGGGCAGACCCTGACCTGGAGGGAGGGAGGGAATAGCTGGTACTAGAGTGACTTTGGTGTTGTCGGTTCCCCAGAGCACTTCTGGGGTCAGCTTTCTGTAACCCTGGTTCTCCTCTACTGTTGGGGGACTCCTAGTGAGGGACAGGCAGGACTTCACTGTGTGAAAGGGACCCCTGGGGAGGGGCAGCGAGGAGACCCTGCCCATGGAGGTGGCCCTGCCCCAGCGCTCCAACTTCTGACAGTCTGGCATTACTTGGAGGGGTCGTTCCAGGCATCCATTAGGGGGAGAGGACACCGTTACCCCATTTCGGCCCCTCCTCACTCAGCCTTGGGGCGTCACGTTCTGGAACCTTCACTATAGACAGCACACTTTGCTTCATGCTCTCTCTGGCTTGTGACCCTGGCTAAGCCCTGGGTATGGGCTTCTGGGGGGGGTCACCCAGTCTGCATTAGGGGTCCCTCCCCTGTGTGCCCAGAGTCCCTGTGCTCACCCTGATCTTGGCATATAAAATAGACTGGCCTGCTTCGTCCAGCTTGGGGTCCAGACTCACCCGCCACCTCTCTGTCCCCTGCCTGCCTGCCCACACGATCTCCCCAAAGGGGCACCTGGCTGCCTGGTGCTAGGAATGGACTAGCCCCAGGTCAGTCCTGCTCCCAGGCCAGTCATGAGTCCTGTTTGGCTCTGCCAGCCCCTGGGCCGGCCACGAGGGTAGCCCAGCCTCCTGGCCTCCTAAGATGGTGCCAGCTCACCCCAGAGCCGGGCACCACGTCAGGAGCTGGGAGGGGGTCTCCCTGCCACTCCCCAGTGGCCCGTCCTGCCTAGGCCACAGGGCCCCTGGGATCTGGGAGCTCAGGAGTCAGCAAGAGGCCAGGGAGGCCTGTGGAGAGATCTAGAAATTTCCCTCAAGAAAAGGCAGCCTATCGATGCAAGAGGCAAACTGTCAGGGAGCAGGGAAAGAGCTGTGACCACGGTGAAAAGGCCCAAGAGACGAGGGGAAACCGAGGCCCCGGGAGGGCAGGGCCTTGAGGAGCAGTTCCCACCCCGCCTCCCTGGGGAGGATTCTTGCCGGGCGAGCAGCCCCATGTGCCCATGAGATGAGATGCTGGCTGTGGGCAGCATGGAAAGGAAAAAGTCAGGCCGAAAAGGATGGCATTTAATGGGAGCAGCTCCGGGGGCAGGTGGGGGAGAGTCTCTGTGCGTGGTCCTGGCCCGACGGGGTGCCAGGCTCGTGAGGGGTCTTCACTCCTCGGCGTGGGGCTGCCAAGGGCCTCACCTCCTCACCTCTGGGGCGGAGACGACACTCAGCCGGGGCAGGAGCCGTGGGGCACCCGCCCTCAGCGCACCACCCAGCCACGCCGCCCACTCACCGTCCAGGATGTGGAACTGGTCTGCGGCCTCACAGAAACCTGGGGGCCCAGGCAGGAGTCAGGGTGGCAGGGGCGGGGCACACAGGGAGGGCAGGCAGAGCCCGGGCCCATGGGGACCACTCACCGTACTTGGGGAAGAAGAAGATGTGGTCCTCCGTCAGGTTGGCCCTCTGGACCCCCTGCTCAAATGCACTCAGGGCCAAGTCACTCACGGGGAGTGAGCGGGCTGTGGGACACACAGGGCTCCTGGGGTGCCAGGCAGCCCCCGGGGGCGGGTGGGGTGTGGGGGTGGGGTCTGTGTGCCTGTCACACCCGGCCATGTCTGACCCTTGCTCCACCCTGTTCCCCGCTCTGTCCCCACACCTGGGCCTATCTGCAGGGGTGCCTCCCTGGATCCCCGCTGGGCAGGGAAGGGTCAGGGCAAGAGACGAGGGAGGGGGAGTTTGTGTGTTCATCTGGGCTCTCCCAGTCCCACCCAAACGGGCCAAGGATGCCGAGCCCGGGCTCCCGTGTGGACGCACCATACAGCTTCACCGACAGCCGCCGCGCCCGCTCCAGGTATAGGACAGCGAAGCCCTGGTAGTCAGTCTCCCCAATGACCGCATCCACCGGCCCCCTGGCGCCTCGAGCTGGACAGAGCCAGGCCAGCTGCATCAGCCCCCCCTTCCAGCCCTGGTCCCCTCCCTGCTGTCCCTGCCTCACCTTGGAGCCGGAAGCGGCCTGGGACTGGTGTGCCTCCATAGAGCTGCTGCACCTGCCAGCAGATGCCATCCCTGGGGCGGGTGTGGGGGGGAGACACAGCAGGGTTGGGGACCCCATCCTGGGCAGGGCTTTGAGGGACACGGTCCAAGCTAGAAGGGGCAGGGCTGGGCTGGGCTGTGGTGGGGAAGGGGCCAGGTGGGGTTGGGGTCCGTGCTGGGACTCACAGCTTTCGGAAGGTGTTGACAGCCATGGCTGTGCCCTGGGGAGCCACACGCAGTGTGGTGGCCTCAGCCCGGTGGCCCTGTTCCTGCAGAGAGCGACAGGACGAGGCCACACCTACGAGGAGCCACGTCCCTGCAAACTGGGGGCAAGCCACATGGGGGCCTGAGGGGATCGGTCTGGCCAGGCCTGACCCCCACAAAGCTGGGTGAGTTCCTGCCTCCCCCACCTCCCCCCAGCTGTACCTGCTGAGCATCAAAGTTAGCCTGGGGCTGGATGGTGCTGATGGGGGACAGGGGCTGAGGGGGTCCCCGAGCCCTCCGACCCAGGGAGCCCGCAGCCAGGAGCAGAGTCAAGAGAGCAGTCCCGGGAGGCAGCATGGCGGTGGCCGTGACAGTGACGGAACTGGGAGCAACCAAGCGCAGGACGGCCAGGTCCTGGGTCGGAGTCCACTGTCGGTGCTGCCCAGGAGCCTGGACCAGGAAGTCTGTTCTCCCCAAACCCCTACCCAGGGCCAGCCTCCCCCCCACGAGCTTGGCCTTGCCCTGGAAATCTGACCTCGACCCTGCACTTCCTGGCAGGGCTCTGGCGCCATGCCCTGTTTACAAAGTCCGAGTTGACCTCTGGATATTTTTCCAGGAGCCCCTAGTGAATTTCCGCTGTGGCCAGTGCTCAGCCTTTCGTACACTCGTCTCCCTTAAAACGCCAACAGCCCCTTAAGGTAGACGCTAGTCTTATTCCTACAGAGAAGAACACGGGGCTCCTGAAGCCACTTGCTTGGGGCCCGACAACGGGAGCGCCAGAGCTGGGTCTCGAACTCACCGCCCGAGAACCTTGCCCGCAGCTCCGCCCACAGACCCCGGCGCGCCGCCGCCGCTCCTCCCGGCCGCCAGGGGCGCTCTTCCGGATGAGCCCGAGCGCGCCCGGGCCCGCAGGGTCCGGGGCGCAGGCGCAGAAGCAGTTGACGCAGGCTGCCGGGCGCTCCGCAGCCATCGATGCCTCGGGGCTCGTGGCGTCGGCCTGGCGGGCTCCATCATAGAGACGCGGCGGCCGGAGAGGCGGCGGGCGGAAGCGGGTCCGTGGGCCGAGGCCGGGCGCCGGGGCTGGGGCAGCGCAGCCGGGCGGAGGCGGCCGCGGTGAGTGCGCCCGGCCCCGGGAAACGACGTCACCCGGCTCCGGGGAGCGTCGTCATCCGGCCCCGGTCCCCGATACCCGGCCCCCGGCCCCGGGAAGCGTCGTCACCCCGCCCACGATCCCCAGACCCCTGACCCCTGGTTCCCGGCCTCCTGCCGCACCCCTGGCCAATGAATGAGGCGCCAACGCCCCGCCCCCGACAGCCCCCTCGGAAGGAAGGTGGGAGGGGGCGCTGGGCGGCCCCGCCCCCGCCCCGCCCCCAGCTCTTTAGGCAGTGGCCGTTTGGCCCGCCGACCGCCTGGCAGGGCTCCCCTAGGGCCACAAGGCAGAGGCCAAGGGCCGGCTTGTGCACCTGGCGGCGGGCGGGCTGGCCGTCGTCTCGCCGGCCCCAAGCCTCTTCTGGGATGGACCACTGTCCCATGCTGACAGCTCTGAAGCCGTGGGACGGCAAGGTCAAAGTGACAGTGTTGGGGTCACCGGCACTTCATTCCTTGGCCTTGGAGCGGTTGCCAGCCCTGGCATCCAGATGTCTCCCTGTGCCCACGTCGGGGGGGGGGGGGTCAGAGGCCCCATCCAGATGACCTGTTCCCAAGGCTTGGATCCTTTTGAGGTGTGGGCGGGTCTGGGATCTCCAGGGGCTGCATCAGGCTCGGAGGTGCTGAGAGGTGTCTGCTGCCCACCCAGAAGCTGCTTGTTCCAGGGAATATGGGGCTTGCAGAGGGAGGGGCCACAGGAGTGTCCAGTCCGAGGAGCTTGGCTGTCCAGGGAAGAAGCTGGGTGAAGCTGGGGTATCCTGGGCCCACCCGGCAGTGCCAGCTGGCCCTGTGCACAAGCTCAGTCTAGTGAAATTCCCATCAGGGCAGTTGGTGGGGCTGGAGGAACGGTCCCCGGGATGCCTTACCTCAGCCCCAGGACCCTGTGCCTCAGCCCGGGGAGCCTGATCCTCCCCGGTCAGACTGGTGGCTAAGGGGGCCGTGCGTGGGTTTCAGGGCCGCCTGGGCAGAATGTCACGATGGACGAGGGGGGCACACCCCTGCTCCCCGACAGCCTGGTCTACCAGATCTTCCTGAGTTTGGGCCCAGCAGACGTGCTGTCCGCTGGGCTGGTGTGCCGCCAATGGCAGGCCGTGTCCCGGGACGAGTTCCTGTGGAGGGAGCAGTTCTACCGCTACTACCAGGTGGCCCGAGATGTTCCCCGACACCCAGGTCAGCACCTGCATATGGCCCCACAGCCCACCACGCCATCTCCTGAAGCCACAGTGCTGAGCACCTGCTACCCAGATCCTCACACCGATGAGGCACAGCCAGGCCACACCTCAGAGCGCAGGGCTACACCGGGGTTGGGGGGTGCCCCTCAGCTGAGCCTGAGTGTGCCCCAGGGGCAGGGCTGATCTCCACACTGTCAGAGCTCTGGCCCCTGTGGAAAGGAAGACTTGGGGCCCCAGCAGTGACCACCCCTCTACAGCGGCCACGTCCTGGTACGAGGAGTTCCAGCGGCTCTATGACACGGTGCCCTGCGTGGAGGTGCAGACGCTCAAAGAGCACACTGACCAGGTCCTGCACCTCAGCTTCTCCCACTCGGGCTACCAGTTTGCTTCCTGCTCCAAGGACTGCACCGTGAAGGTGAGGGTGGCCTCCGGGAGCTTCGGCCATGGTCAAGGCTAGGCACATCCCCATCACGCTGCAGAGGTAATGGCCTGGAGCCAGGTGGCCCACCCAGGTGGGAAGAGATGGCCCAGTCTGCCACATCCCTGTGGAGAGGGCCAGGTCAGGTAAGACGCACCTGGGCTAGGACCACACAGGATGGGAGGCTGGGGTGGGTGGTGAACGGAGAAGAGAGGGTCCTGCTTGAAGCCTTCTGCTCCAGAGCCAGGACCCCAGCCTCCTGTGCCCACGCCCTTCGGGTGGGCTGACAGCCAGGGGCAAGGAGCCACCATCCTGATGGGGGTTTCTGGGTACCTGCTTGGCCTAGATGGTCAGGAGCTTGATCGGCTGGGGATTGCAGCATGGATCACAGGTGCCCCGCTGACTCCCCCCAATTCCCCCCACCCAGATCTGGAACAACGACCTGACTATCTCGCTGCTGCACAGCGCGGATATGCGGCCCTACAATTGGAGCTACACCCAGTTCTCCCAGTTCAATCAGGACGACTCCCTGCTGCTGGCCTCGGGGGTGTTCCTGGGGCCCCACAACTCCTCCTCTGGCGAGATCGTGGTCATCAGCCTAGGTGAGAGTCTGGGGCGGCCTGGCCTGGCTCCCTCCCCGCTGCCCCGCCCACTGCCACTTCCCCTTTCCTCTCCTGCCCACCGGCCCCGCCCCTTCCCACCGCCTGCCCAGCCCCCGCTCCCGGCAGACAACTTCGCGCTGCTGTCCCGCGTGCGCAACAAGCCCTACGACGTGTTCGGCTGCTGGCTCACAGAGACCAGCCTGATCTCGGGGAACCTGCACCGCATCGGAGACATCACCTCCTGCTCTGTGCTCTGGCTCAACAACGCCTTTCAGGTGCGGGCGGGCTGGTTCTGCCGAGGTGATCCCCCCTCCCAGGCCTGACGTCCACTGCTCACCGCCCGCGCCACCCCCGCAGGACGTGGAGTCTGAGAACGTCAACGTGGTGAAGCGGCTCTTCAAGATCCAGAACCTCAATGCCAGCACTATCCGCACGGTGATGGTGGCCGACTGCGGCCGCTTCGACAGCCCCGACCTCCTGCTGGATGCTGGCACTCCCGGGGCGTCTCCCAGCCGCGTCTTTGACCTGGGCAGCGAGGGCGAGGACGAAGCGGCCGGCCCGGCCCCCGCCCCGGAGCACCCCAAGGAGCGCTTGCGGCGCTTCCTGGACGGGCTCCTGGACGCGCGGGCGCAGCCCCAGCTGGCGGAGTGCGCGCTGGAGACCAAAGTGGCCGAGCTGCTGGCCCAGGGCCGCACCAAGCCCCCCGAGCGCAGCGCGGCCGGCGCCGGGAACAAGCTCCTCATCTTCACCACAGGCTGCCTCACCTACTCGCCACACCAGATCGGTAACTATGGGCAGGGCCAGGCCTCAGGCCTCGGGGCCCTGGGCACAGCCCGCTTCGTGTCCGTGCTGGGGGCCCAGTCCTGGCTGGGCCTCCAGGAGCGCACCTGCCATTGGGGGCGGGTGGGGGCGGGGAGCTGCGAGGACGCCCTCACCTGGCCGTCCCACAGGCATCAAGCAGATCCTTCCGCACCAGATGACCACAGCTGGGCCTGTGTTGGGTGAGGGGCGGGGCTCCGACGCCTTCTTTGACGCGCTGGACCACGTCATCGACGTGCATGGACACATCATCGGCATGGGCCTGTCCCCTGACAACAGGTGCGCCCCCGGTGGTGCCCTGGGTGGGGGCGCCTGCAGGCCACACGCACCGAGCGAGCAGAGTGCCCCTCGCTCAGGTATCTGTACGTGAACAGCCGCGCCTGGCCCAGCGGCTCGGTGGTGGCTGACCCCATGCAGCCGCCGCCCATCGCGGAGGAGATCGACCTGCTGGTGTTCGACCTGAAGACCATGCGGGAGGTGAAGCGGGCCCTGCGCGCCCACCGCGCCTACACGCCCAACGACGAGTGCTTCTTCATTTTCCTGGATGTCAGCAGGGACTTTGTGGCCAGGTAGGAGCTCGGGGCGGCGGGAGGGAAAGGGGCCCAGCGTGGCGGAGGGGCGGGGCCTCATCCCAGCTGCGGGGCGGGGCCTCACCCCAGGCCGTCCTGCAGTGGGGCGGAGGACCGGCATGGCTACATCTGGGACCGCCACTACAACATCTGCCTGGCCAAGCTGCGGCACCAAGACGTGGTCAACTCGGTGGTCTTCAGCCCCCAGGAGCAGGAGCTCCTGCTGACGGCCAGCGACGACGCCACCATCAAAGCCTGGCGCTCGCCGCGCACCGTGCGCATCCACCAGGCCCCGCGCCCACGCCCACGCCCCTTCTTCTCCTGGTTTGCCAGCCAGAGGCGCTGAGGGCCACTGGCCAACAGGAGCACCCTGGGTGCCCTCGAGCTGCTGGGACCCACTGAGGACGCCATGGAGGCTGTGGCCTTCTCACGGCTGAGCCTCCGCCCAGACTGAGGAGGCAGAGAAACCCACTGTAGTAACGCCTTAGGAAGGGGGTCTGGCGGGACTGCAGGAGCAGACGGCTTGGCCTCCACCACGCTCGTGCACACACACCGCATTCTGCAGCCATGACGCTTAGCACTGGGGTGGCCTGGGAGGCCTCCTGGCTGACTTGGGGTGCATAGGACACTGGGGGCCCCACTCTTCACCCACCCTTTGCCTGGGCCTGGGCCCTGGGACAGTCATCAATACACGAAGCTCGGCCAGCCCTTGGCAGCGATTCCTGGGTCTAACCTTGCCCTGGGAACCCCAGGCTCCCCCTCTGGTTGGTGTGGGTCAGTCTGCCATGGGCCTGGGTGAACTGCATGTCACCTGTCACTGTTCAGGGCCTGAATAAACAGTTGGCAACAGCACACGGTTGTCCAGTCTTTGTGTGCAGGCAGTGGCCCGGCCCGGTGGGACCTATGTGGCCTGCCTGGCCGGTGGCAGTGCCGAAGGCTGTGGCAGCACTGGAGATGCACTGAGCCGGGCAGGGTGGCTCAAGTCAGCATCCCGAATCATGGCCCCCTTGACCTCTGAGGAGCCAAGGCCAGGAGCCCACAGAGCGTCTGAGCACGTCCACCACGCTGTGTGCTCACGGCCAGCAGGGACCCATCAAGGACACAGACCTGGCAAGTGCTGCCACGGCCCAGGAACGCATGCAGCTGGGTGGGCAGGCTGGTGTGTTCAGCAGCTTCAGTCAGGCCCTTAAGGGCGGTCCCTGCTGGGGGCGGGGCAGAGCTCTGTGGGGCCAGGCAGGTGACAGTGGGAACATGAAGAAGCGGCAACGGAGGGGCAGGGCTGGCCCCGGCTGTACCCTCAGGCTTGGCCTAGGCCCGTCCTGGGGGCTCACCTTGCCCCCTTATTCATGTTAGGATCCCCTGGATGACGGGTGCCGATGGGGGCCTGGCTGCATGTGGAGCTCATGTTGAACCGCCCTCCGCTCTACACACAGCAACCATCAACACAGCAGAAACACCAGGACGGGTCCTCAGGGATGACAGAGTCAATGTCCCTCCAGGCCAGAGGCAGCAGTGAGCAGAGGCTGCCTCGGTTGCCTGCCAGGGTCACAGCTGCAGGGAGAGGGCTGGGCGGGGCCCAGGTACAAAGGGCAGACAAGCTGGCCTGTCAGGAGTTTGGCCAGGAAGGCGGAGGGCCCAGAGTGTCCCCCAGCATGGGCTGCACACCCAGAGGACAGGCGCTCTGGCCCATGGGAACAACGGGAGTCCTGGGCTGCATGGCTTCATCTCAGAACCGCCTGACACAGCAGGAACAAGGAGGAAATCTTGGCACCGAGGACACAACAGCCAACCCGTCCTGCACAAAATGCTCCTGAAACTGACAACCCCAGGCTGATGCCATGAAAAGAAGCCGGCAAGCCCCTCCCACACATAAGCACACACGAGAAATTGGAGAAAGTGAGCACTTTTCTGCAAAGGACTTAAGATACATCTAATTTAAAATCATCAAAGACACTAACAATCTATAAAACAAAAACGGGACAGGAATCAAGAATACTCAGAAACTTAAAAATTAAAGAGGGCCAATGGAAAACAGTGTGACTGAAATGAAAGCCCAATATGTAGACAAGAGGTTGGGCCAGACCTGCCTTGTGCGAGCGCCGGGAAGCAGGCTGAACTGGGGGGGGGGGGGGGGGGGGGAATGGACGGACGGACAAGACAACAGAACCCAGAGGAACAATCAAACGTGGAGGAGGCACACACCACCGCAGCAATGTCGCTACAGGGCCCAGGAGAGAGGGCAGACGTGGAGACGTGGGTTTAGAGAAGATGGCTCAGGTGTGTGAAGATGAAATTCTCACGTGCTGACGTGTAGTCACACGTGTAGTCACACATGACAAGGACCAACACTCAGCGGTCCAGCAAGGATACCGAGAAATCTTAGAAGCTCTGAGGGGCGGTGCTGGGTCTGGGAGAGAGGGAGCTGGAGCCAGTGGAGGCCCGGTGCCCCCTTGGTGCAGCCACAAGACCTGGACAAAGACAGAGCCCCAAGAACTGCAGAGGGCATGTGGCAGGCATGTTGAGAGCAGCAGCAGCACCAGAGTACCCAGAGCCAGCACTCTTCACCGTGCATCTTGGGGGCCTGAATTTGCACAATGCAGCCATGAGCAAAGACCCGGAAAAGGAACTCCTGCTGCCCCGTCCATGTGGAAACGCCCAGGGTTTCTCCTCTCTTTTAGCACCTCAGGCAATCCCCTGGTGGCAGGGAGAGGGATAGCTGTGGGAGCCCACAGTGCCACTCTCGGGCAGGACCCTGCATGCTCTTCAGTCAGTGGCGGCTACTCCCAGAGCCCATTACTTTGTGTCTGCTGTCCCTCCCAGAGTCCTGTTACTTTGCAATTGCTGTCCCTCCCAGAGCCTGTTACTTTGTGTCTACTGTCCCACTGCATGGACCAGACTTACAACAACTAAGGAAGGGCACGACAGTGTGCAGTCACGGAGCCCTGAGGTTCTGGCCGAAAGGCCAGACAGTGCCAGCAACTAGACCAGAGGAGACAGCATGGGAAACAGCCCATGTGAGGATGAGGACAGCCACACCTCCCCAGGTGATCAGATCCAGGCTCTCAAGCTTGCTGGCACCTGACCCAGCATGAGGCCCAGGTGGGACACACAGAACCGGCCCCAAGAGCATGGCTTTGGAGCCTGGACTGATGCTGGGTCCAGCCTCAGAAGGCAGTGGGAACGTGGGCCTGAACCTAACAAGGCCAAATGCCTGTGAAGACACCAGCACTGTCCACAGGATGTAAAGAAGATACAGACCTGACGAGTGATACTCAAGAATGCCCAGAATGTAATCCACATGGATTGGCACACAAAGAGCCATGAAGATTCAACTCACAACGGAAAAGACATTCGGGGGGCCAAGGATGAGAAGACACAGATGCTGAAATTATCTGACAAGGACTCTGAAGTAGCTATTAGGAAAATGCTTGAACAAGCAATCACAAACATCTTGTAATGGATGTAAAAGTATCAGTCTCGGCAAAGAAACAGAAGATAGAGGAACCAAATGGAAATGTTAGAACTGAAAAGCACAATAACCAAAAATTTAAAACTCACTGGACAGACTCAACAACACAAGAGAGATGACAGAGGAAAGTCAGCAAACTTGAATGAAGATAAATCAGTGGAAATTCTCCAACCTGAGGACCTATGGGACAGTAAGTACAGAGAAACTAAAACAGGAAAACTAGAAAATGGCCACGTAACTGTATCATTATAGGCAGGAAACGGGAAACTGAAAGAACCACCAGGAAACAAACAACAAAATGGCAAACATATCTAAGCATATCACTAATTACATTATTGTCACAATGAAACCAACCAAAACAAAAAAATGTGCTGTCTATAAAAAAGTCACTTCAAAAGACAGGATGGAAAAACCCATTCCATAAGATTGAAGGACAACTTGACTTGGAGCTGATGGGTCCTGGAGAAATACAATGTTCCCTTTCCCCAATTCCCCAACACTGTTCCCTTGCCCAATTCCCCAATAAAATCTTTAAAAAAAGAAAAAGAAAACATTCCACAAAAATATTGGGTTGTCAGAAAAGTCATGACACATTTTCACAACGAAAAACAGAAAAAATACGTCATGCCTTTTCCAACAACCCGATACTATGAAGAGGAAACAGGATTGGCTATGTTAATATCAACGTACACTTCAGAAGGAAGAACGATACTGGAGAACAAGGGGCCTCACACTGATGCAAGGGAGAGTGCACCAAGGACACACAGCAATCCTAAGCGTGTGTGCCCCTAACAAAGGAGCCTCAAAACATGCAGAAAGTGACAGCACAGCGCTGAGGGAGCAACAGATGACCCCACAGCTGGAGGTGGGGACGTAAGCATGCCTCTCAGTAATGGACAGTCTCCTGGGGCTGCTCTAACAAAGGACCACAAACTGGGCGTTTAGAACACAAGTGTACGGTCTCAGAGTGCTGGAGGCTGGAAGTCAGGTCGGGGTGCTGGCAGGACCAACGTTCTCTTCTCGTACCATTCTCCCTGGGTCCCCTCATGTTGTCCTCCCTCTGTGCATGCCTGTTTTTTTTTTAAGATTTTTATTGGGGAATTGGGGGATGGGAACAGTGCTGGGGAATTGGGGGAAGGGGAACAGACAAGTTGCTGTCATTTTGTTCTTCAGTCTAGTTGTGGAGGACGTTGCTTCACTGGCCCAAGTTGGCACCATCATTGCGCTCTTCCCAGGCGAGGCAGATCAGTCACTGGCTTCTGGACAGCCGCTCACAGCGGTTTGAGGGCCGCTCACGCTGGCTGCTGGCTACACATGGTAGCCTATGGCAACTCACCTGCCGTCGCTGGCGACTCACGGCATCCCAGCTCCAGGTTGAGCTGTTGTTCAGCATCTTAGCTGTAGAGGGCAGTGTTACTGGCCCTCATATGTAGGATCCGAACCGGGGCCCTCTGGTGTCCCAAGCCAGCTCTTAACCAACGCGCCAATCGGCCGGCCCTGTGCATGCCTGTTTTTATAAGGACACCAATCATATTGGACTGGGCCCGCCCTAACGACCTCATCTTAACTTGATCACCTCTGTAAAGACCCTATCCCCAAATAAGGTCACGCTGTGTTACTGGGGTCAGGACTTCCGCTTATCTTCTGGGGGGAGGCAATTCAGCAGAGGACAACAATCAGCTAACTTAATTTAACTGATGTGTGGAGAACATTCTACTCAAGTACACATGTACTCTCACCGAGTGGGCCATCGTCTGCACAAAACACACCTCACCAAACAAATGTCAACACTTCTCAACTCCTTACGTGGGACCAGGAAATCCTTGGTACCAGAACCAGACAAACGCTACAAAAAAGTTAGCTACAGACCGATATCATTCACAAATATAGATGCAAAATGCTCAACAAGATAGGAAACCAAATCCAGCAACCCATGAAATGAATAGTATGCCACAACCAAGTGGGGGTCACTCCAGGAGTGCAAGGCTGGTGCAGTATTTGGAGGTGAAGCAGTGTAAGCCAGCACACTGACAATACAAGAGAACCACACAGACAGGTCACGATGCAGAGAGTGCATTTTACAAGTATCTAGTCATGATAAAAACCCAGCTAACCAGGAGCGGGAAGGAACCTGCTCAACCTGGTAAAGTGCCGTGACAAGAAACCTGCAGGCAACACTGCACTTGGGTGAGAGGGACTGCTGCCTGCTCTCCCACCCCATGCAGCCTCACGCAAGAGAAATGACAGGCATGCAGAGTGGAAAAGAAGAAATAAAACTCTCCCTATTCACAGATGACATAATTGTTTATGCACTAAATCCCCCCAAATTCAACAACCTCCTCAAATCAACACATGCATTTATGAAGCTTACAGGATATGAATA